TGTTGGTATTGGTATTGGTATTGCTGTTGGACCTGCTGCTGCTGTTGTTGATCAGAGGAATCCATGGCGAGCGCTGCGGATGATGGATGATGGAAGGGGAAAACAAAATTGGGATTTTTTTTTTATTTTGTTCGATTTGAAGAGGAGAGGGGAAGGTATGCAGCTATGTATTTTTGGCGGTTGATCTGAGCCGTCCATTCGCTGGATCTTAAAGTTTTGGCGGTGATGATGGAACATGGGGAGTAAGGTTTGGGAAAATTGTATCAAGACCCCAAAAACAATATCTTCATGTGCTGCAACCCTTTTACTTTTTTTTTCCACGTGGTTTAGCCCCAAAAAGTATCACATCATTTGCTGCAGCCCTCTTCTAGCAATTATTACCTGCTAAGTAAGCATAGACTAGAGAGAGCATAAAAAGTACAAAACCCTAAAATGCCCTTACTTCCTCTATTCTTTCATGTTAGGTCTAATGAGAGTTCATGTTAGGTCTAATTTCATGTTAGGTCTAATAATAGTTCATTTAGGTCTAATTTCAGTTCATGTTATGTCTATTAATAGTACATATTAGGTTTAATTTCAGTTCATGTTATGTCTAATAATAGTTAATGTTACGTCTAATTTTAGTTCATGTTATGTCTAATTTCAGTTCATGTTAGGTCTAATAATAGTTCATGTTAAGCCTAATAATAGTTCATGTTAGGTCTAATTTCAGTTCATATAATGTCTAATAATAGTTCATGTTAGGTTTAATAATAATTCATGTTAGGTTTAATAATGAAGGTCTAATAATAGTTCATGTTAAGTTTAATTAATAGTTCATGTTAAGTCGAATAATAGTTCATATTAAGTCTAATTTCAGTTCATGTTATGTCTAATAATAGTTCATGTTAGGTCTAATTTCATGTTAAGTCTAATAATAGTTCATGCTAAGTCTAATTCCATGTTACGTCTAATTTCAGTTCATGTTAAGTCTAATAACATTTCATGTTAGGTCTAATTTTATCTTAAGTCCAACTTGATTCGTGTTAAGTCTAAATTCAGTTCATGTTAAGTCTAATAACAGATCATGTTTGGTCTAATTTACTTCATGTTAAATTCCTTTTAAGTCTGATTTACTTCATGTTAAGTCTAATTTTTAATATTTAATTTACTTAACATGAACTATTATTAGACTTAACATGAACTTTTATTAGACTTAACAAGAACTATTATTAGACCTAACATGAACTATTATTAGACTTAACATGAGCTATTATTAGACAAAACATGAACTGAAAATTAGACTTAATATGAACTATTATTAGACTTATACGAATTATTATTAGACCTAACATGAACTTGTAGGCAGTGAAAATTGCCTAAAAGTTCAGATGGGTTCTACACGAACCTAGAAGAGGCCTGAGAACGAGGTCAATCCACATTCAAAACTGTACGCCGACCGAGCGGAACGACACCCCTCTGTTGACTCGAAGGGAGGTGCCAGTCCTCCCCTCGAAGACCACAAGACGACACCCCTGTGTCGACTCGAAGGGTGGTGTCAGTCAGCCCCTCGAAGACCGAACGGGACGACACCCTTGTGTCGACTCGAAGGGCGGTGCCAGTCCTCCCCTCGCCGACCGAGCGGGATGACACCCCTGTGTCGACTCGAAGGGCGGTGTCAGTCCTCCCCTCGAAGACCATGGGATGACACCCCTGTGTCGACTCGAAGGACGGTGTCAGTCTCCTGCTCGAAGACGACTCGCCAAGAGTCCCTCATCTCAGAAGACCTCAGGAACACACCCCCCTTCGTGTGGAATCGAAGGGCGGTGTCAGTCTCCCGCTCAAAGACGACTCGCCAAGAGTCCCCTCATCTCAGAAGACCTCGGGACGACACCCCATCGTGTTGACTCGAAGGGCGGTGTCAGTTAGCCCTTCGAAGACCCCTTAGGATGACACCCCTCGTGTCGACACGAAGGGCTGTGTCAGTAA